GAGGGGGCGCGCACCAACGTGTGCAGTGGAGAGCTTCTCCAGAGGGGGCGCGCACCAACGTGTGCAGTGGAGAGCTTCTCCAGAGGGGGCGCGCATCTCAGGTACAAAGACAGACAAGGCAGATGGTGAAGGCCACCTGGGGTTTTCTTTTCTTGCAAATAACTTTGTGACAAGCAGAGAAGATGCAAGTGAAGCGGAAGTATGGGGTGGGGGCTGTACAGTATAAGGAAGCGAGGGTGGACGGGGACGTGGGAGTGTTTGGAAGTCCGTGAGGCAGAGGCAGGGGTACCAGGGACAGGCGGGGAGGGGTGGAGGTAGAGCTATGAGAGGGGGGAATTTGAAAGTCAGATTTCAAAGGTTCTCTCTGCCATTTGTGTGGTCCAAGAAGGCCTTTGAAGTGTGTGATTGAAGTAGAGGGGATAAAAATAGCTGTGAGTCCTGACCAGGAGGAGCGCCAAGCACCGAAAGAGTGGAGATTTCTCTGTGGATTTTGAAGGAGGTACTGCAATTATGGGAGAAATGTGATGAAGAAAGCGTCTGAACGTTAGGGTCACATCAGCAATAAATAAGGGGAAGGATCAGAAACCGGCAGATAACAGCAAACACTGGTCTGATCCAAGGAGCTCATCTTCCAAGGTAAAAAGGAGTTTTTCATAGAAAGAAGAGGATACTAGGAAGTGTGGAAGAGAGTCTCAGTAGAGGAGAGAAGTGAACACTTGTTTTAGAAGCTAATGTTCTTCCGATTTGCTAGTTTTTCAGAACTACAAGCATATATATACATATACATATTTTTTTTTCATACAGACTCCGACAACTGTTCCAAGAGCAGCTGGTCGAGAAACCAAGTATGTAAGTATCCCTGGGACCGTACATGCTACCTCATTTTCCTCTCACAGAATACTCACGTACGTTTCAGAAGGAATTTGTTCCTGCCTCCTTTCAATGGAATCTGTTGGCTTTTGTATCAACCGATGGCACAGAACAGCATGTTTGACCTAGATAATAGAAAATCGGCTGTGTCTGGGATAAACCGTCAGGTTAGCTTATCGAACACATTCCTTCCTAAGCTGGAGCAGTGTAGCTAAACAAAACAGGACTACTGCCACATCTGCTTTCTGTCTTTCTAAATATGAACTCCTAGATGACGTTTTTATTTTTGTAATTGCCTAAATGGGTTTATTACAAAACAGTCAGCTCCCGTGCTTGGGCATTAAAATCCATCCGTTTCTGGCAGGATTGGTAGTTTAATTGACTGACTAGCCTGTTGATTCCCTGCCTTTAATTGCTCCATCCAATAAAGCAATTTTCACTTAGGAGCATCAGTAGACGAGCAGCGGATGGGGGGGGGCGTGGCCTGTGATGCTGAACTCATTTGGCCAGAACTCTGCGAGTCCAGACCCACGCGGCCTCGCCCAGCAGCGTGCAATTCTCCTCTCGCTTCACAGAGACACTTTCCCACGTGGTTCCCTCCACATCTGACCAGACACTTTCTGATAGAAACAAGACTGTTTTCTCCAAAGCATTTAAAGTTTCTTCTAAGCCAGGCAGTAAATTATTCCATTGAGATTGCTTTTAATTATTTTTTGCGAATAGGCAGTTTTTGTCATCGTCCTTGAGAGTGGTTATTAAATATGTATTTTGCGATACCACCTCATCTTTGTGTTTTACACATTCCTGCCTTCTTCCGGAGAGCAAAGAACGAGCTTGGTGAAATAACTAAATTTATGACATCTGGGAAGTGATGCTAACGGCTGTGGCGTTAAGAGCATTTGCTGGAAGCTTCCGTTGCTCCTCGTTATCATTTGAAGCCCTTTTGAGTAACGCCTAAAACACGAGGCATTTGGCAGGTTGGGCCCAAGTTTAAGTCACAGTCTTATTTCTACATAACTTTCTGGGGGGGAAAACCCACATGATTTTTTGTGTGCGTTTTGTTGTTGTTTACCTTTAGCTTTTGTTTTTCATCCATTAAATGTAGATACAAGTGAGGGCTTTCTTAGTTCCTGTGTGAGAAGCCCTCCCTGGGGCCCTCCCCCAGGACTGGCTCCTCACCCGCTCTCCTCTTCCATCGCTTTTGTAGCTATAACTCATCCCTTCCCTTCCTTCACCCATCTATTTTTGGAAGACAAGGAGCCTCGTCCTGCGGCTCACCATTTAGTGGGCTCAGGAAAGCAACGTCTTTAAAGGTATTTCTGTATTTTTGTGACTAAGACGCTCTCCAGATCCCTGGAGAAGCTGGTGGACAGCCTTTGGTTCTTTATCCGCCTTGCTGCTGTCTCTCAGTAGAGGCTTCTCGGCCCTGTTTACGGGGCTGCTGCCTCCTGGCACTCTTCCCTGGAGTGTCTTCATTGGATCATGACAGAAACAACTCTGGAGGGTCATTCCACAGCTAGCGATTATTTCCAATTATGATTGTCCATCCATTTTCAGACCAGATTACAGCAGATCCCCACTCGCAGCCCTGCGTTGGATCTTTGAGTCATTCAGACTTAACAATGACTCATCAAAGGAGTTCAAGGTAGACTAGATGTACAAACTCTGACTCAAGTGAAATTCTTGATCTTGATGAAAGGTTGCTTGAGCGAGAAGCGTGGCTTATTTTTTTTAACTTACTCTGACGACTTGACATTTGAGTTGGTGTTAAATTTGCCTGTGTCTTTCAAGGAGCATTGGAAGGGGAGGTAAAAGCCATTTTGTCAGTGCCAACTCATAGATTACTGCCCCTTGTCAATAGTCAGCTTCAGTTGTTATGCTCCCCAAATGATATCAGATGCATGTATTTGGAGAAACAATAATGACATTTTAGAGCTGATGTTTACTTTAGTTATGAGCCTTCACCTTGTGTGAGCAATCTGCCTTAAATATGGTATATTTTGAGTATTTTTAACAAACGACAGCATTATAATCCTTTTAGGAATTCTACTATTTATATCCAATGAATTATGGGATGTTTCATCTTATGTATGAATTAGGTAGTTTTTACTTGATTTTTTTTTACTATGTATTTTTCTCCCTTCTCTCCTTGGAATTCAAAAGCACTATTGAGAAATCTGAACATGCTAGCATTTTACTATCTCCCCAAGTTTGGAGAAAGTTGGCATCTTTTTTTTTTTTAAGCCCAGGACTGGATGGATTTACAGCTGAATTCTACAAGGCCTTCAAAGCAGAGCTCACGCCAATGATCCTCCAAGTTGGCATCTTTACAGCATCTCTCTGCTGGGTCTTGGCATGTTCTTCACTTTGAAGAGATTCTTAGATTAAAGTCCAAAGCAAGGGTCATGCAGGTCGGTAGCTCTGCCCCATGGAAGAAGAACCAACAGGAGAATTAAATTAGAGGACAAATGAAGGATTAAATTAAAGTCAAGGGAAAAATGTCTCTAATAGTCAAAGCACTGTTCGGCAGATTGGAACTGACCACCCTGAGTCTCTGGGTTTGAATGCCAGCCACAGGTCATTGCAAGCAGGAAAGCTAGTTAGAATTTCCTAGCTGTTGCTCAGTTTTCCCCTTTCATTAATTGATTTGACAAATATTTGTTGGGCATCTGCAGGTACCTTCACCAAGGGCGGATGCAACAGCCAGGTCCTCATTTCTGAGGACAATGTAGGAGAGAATAAACAGCAAAAACAGTGAGCCAGCAAGACTATTCGTTCCTTATAGAAACGGGAGACTGGGTAAAGGACTGCATTATATGCAAATGAACTCGACAAGCTGCTAGTTTTCAACATATCAGCATGTTCATAGAATTCTCTGTTGTTGTTTTTTGGGAGATTATTGTTATGGCTTAGTTAAGTAAAAAGGAATTGTATGACTAATTCCTCTTTATGGTTCTTTGGTGAAAGGTTACCTTCTCTGAGGGGAGAGAGAAAAAGAGAAAGATAGTCTTCAAAAGAATGTTTTATTGATATTTTTAAAGTCGAGTTTATTGTCATCTTTGGAAAAACTTGTGTTTTAGGATTAAGCAGGATCAGTAGGTTCAGATTATTTCAAGTCTTTGTGTGTGTGTGTTTGTTTCCCCCACTTATGGTGTGTTTGAACTGCAAGCTAATTTAGAGTAATTAAATGGAGACCTAGGAAGTGCTCAAAAAAACAGCGTTAGAAATATGTTGAATATATGACGTTGTTAGTAACTTAAAGAGTTAATTAGGCCATCTGGTCATCAATATTTCATTTAGTTCTTCTAGATTCTATAGAAATCCTATAATTTGGGTGTTATTATTAGAAAATTTCCACTCTACAGAGGAAAGACAAATCTCAGAAGTCCAAGAGGCCAGATTCAAGCCAAGTGTGTTTCACATCAAAGCTCTGCCACTGGTATTTGTTTATTCTCAGAGACGCTGGGCTCAGTCTGAGTTTTTTCAGTAGCTTATCAGTTCTGGGCAGTGCTAGGGTCCAGAGCTTGCTGGGAAAGTATTCCACCACTGAACTATCTCTCAGTCCCAATTACTTTTTATTTATTCATGAAGTCTAAATTATGTCTTAGTGCCTAATAACCTTCAGTTTGAACTTGGAATAAATAATTTGACATTTGGTCTATTAGTGATTAATACATTTTAATTCATATTAATATATCAGTGTGATGAATATGGTTTTACTCTTTCCAAGCTTTCAAACTGCTTGCTAATATGTAAATTTATTCATGATTTATCAGACACCATATGAGCGATTATGTCTCAGGATACTCATATTAGGTTTCTTTCTTCCTATGTAAAGAAGAAAATATTTTGTGAAAATTGCTAATTTATCACATTTTGGGTCTATCAACTTTTGAATGGATTTTGGTTTTGGTTGTGTGTTATAATTGACTTAGCAAATATTTACGATTTATATGAATTGCTATCCATATAATTCCATTTCCCTCTCGCAATTACAAAACCACAGTAATAAAGAGCCACCTCAGAATATAGAGTATTTGGGCTCATTACTAATTTATCAAAAAAAACTTTGTTGAAATCACATTTTATTGATAACAACATATCTTCCTATATATTTTCTACATTTCATGAATCACTTATAAGTACCAGGAAAATAAACGTGATAGACGTATTGAATATTAGAGAGTACCCAGGTAAGATCTCATTGTAATGAGCTTGAGGGACAGAAAATGCCATTGAATGAAAATACATTGCTTCTAAAATATCACAATATATTAAAAGAGGTGTCAAACTTTATTAAGAATCTGTCTCTCTACCTGTACAGATATTCAAATAAAGGTCACCTTCTCCCCATTTAGCCAGATCACATGTCTGCTGTTGCTATGCTCAGAGAATATTTGAGGCATTATACACTAACTAATACAGCTGTAGATTTTAGGGGAAAAGGTAACTTAAATTCACCTCCAGCTCCAGACCTGCCTTTAGAGGATGAGGTTTGCTGGATTATAGGAGAGCTGGGCACAATTCAAGCTAAAAACTCCGCTCTTGTAGCCATCTGTTTGTTTCATTGTTCAGAAGTGTTTAAGCAGTGTGTGTGTGTGTGTGTGTGTGTGTGTGTGTGTGTGTGTGTGTGTGATGTCGAAGGGGGCGGAGTAGAGTCATCTTGGATCTGTTGAATGCAGAACAGAGAAGACCTTTTGCCTTCTGTCCTTTTCATCACTATTTTTTTCTTGATCAAATCTGAGTTGCAAGGAATGGCAGCTGGACACCATGACCAGAGAGCTTGGGTATAACTTGTGTGTCTCTGGCTTGAAGCTGTTGGGAAAAGTGGCTTCTCCAAAGCTGTCTTGGCACAGGTGCTGCCAGGCAGTAATTTAGTTTTCAGTAGACATCAAATCCTCCCGTTTTCCCTGTTAGTTTCTCTATAACCAAAGTAAAAGCTAGCTGTGGCAGCTAGCTTCCCATGCCTGGAAGCTCACACAGAAATCACACGTATGAGGCCAGAGCCTGGACTATGCAATGAGATCCTGGTTCAAACACATCTAACTTTTTAATGGAATTTTTTGGGGGAATTGTACATTTTGACTTTCATAATTTTTGACATAATTTGACTGCTCTATTAGGACTTAATTAAAATATTAATTTATTTTTAGTTGACAATGAATCTATTGACAGCTACTTACAGAGCTCAGTGTGGTGAGAGGCGTAGGAATGATAGAAAGATTCGGTCTAGCCAGTTACCGTGCGCACCTCAGCAGCTCATCCCTCTGTGGAGAGACTGTCGGATGTGCTGGAGCGTGCGGTCCTCGTCATTAGCGGAGGTCACCACGCGGCGCAGGAGATCACTCCTGCGGCCCGCAGAGGCTTTGAACCATCCCTCGGCGGCCAACCTTTGCTCTCACCTCTGCCCACCCGTCTCCCCAAGGGACATATTATCCACGAGGGGGCATGGGTAACCGCGCTGCATAGAGCACAGAGTCATGAGGAAACTTGCTAAGTGCTAATGGATACGAAGCAGGAGATTCGCCAATTATGACACTGAGAAGGGCGGGTAGTGCGGCCGAGCCCGCGGCTGGTGGGGGACCTTCGAAGGGGATGGGAGCCCGCATGGTAAATCCATGCCGTGGGACTCTCACGCGTGAATGAGGATAAGATTAAAACATTCCAAGAAACACCTCGGACGCCACACCAGCAGGATGGACACTCAGGAGTGGGAGGTGTGGGGAGCTCTCAGACCCTGAGCATGAAGTTTTCCTCAGGTGACAGGAAGTTCCTGGCTACTATCATGCGTTTCTGGGGTCAGTGGTATCATATTATTGTATTGTACACTTAAAATGGATTAGGAAGACAGAACTCACGGCAAATGTGCTTATGAGAATAAAGTACTTTTTTTTTTAAAAAAGGAAGGAAATTATTTTCAGGAAAGTAGGGGACTAGTGACTAAGAGATAATGTTAGCCAGTTTCTGAGGAAAACAGTTTTTAAAGCCAAATCATTTCCCTTTTCAAATCATGAAAATCTTATTATGCTTTTCTTTTTGTTACAAAGGCGCTTTAAGGAAAATCAGTTTTATTTCGATTTTCTCTATGTAAATATCAACAATGTGTGTTTAAGTATGGAGTCTACAAAAAATGACACACTGAGTGACTTTGAAGAATTCTTGATTTTGTAATAGATGGAGGGGGAGTGTGGCGTGAAGCCGTCATGTTACGTGAGCAATTGAATAAAATTCATAGGAGAGATACTGCAAGGTCATTTACCAGCTTGTTAAAAAGCGTCTGTTGTTAGCAATATTTTCATTTTCCTTTACAAGTTTTAAAGTCCTATACCAGGCTTGCGTTATTCTGATAACGAGATAGCTCCAAAGAAGGGCAAAGGTGGAGTTGTCATCTTCGCGATTTATTAGTTTCACTAAATGTACACCTTGCTCTGTTTTCCAGGCAAACCTTTCTTCAGCATCCTCGGGGGCTTCTGAGAGTCAGCTGGTACGTAGCCTCCCACTGAGCCCTAGCCCTCCTGAAAACGTCCATTTCACAACAACTTCATACAAGGCAGTGCACAAATGCTGCCCATGTGTGCCCACATTCTCGTCCCTCAGAAGTTTACTGGTGCTTTCGTAAAGCTCCATGGGGATAAACCATTCCAAGACTCCCCCCGCCTGTCACCCCTCCCCCTTCCCCACCCCACTGCACACACAGCCCACACTGCACACACAGCCCACACTGCACACACAGCCCACACTGCACACACAGC